CAGGACTCTGCAGTCTGTTTACACCTACAGGCCAGTGGACACTCTTTCAATGATGAGGATGTAACATCCTGGACAGGGAGGAACGCTGGTTTGAGGGCGGAGTCAAGGAGGCCATTTACGTGAAAAGGGAAAGACCATCTCTGAATCGAGGAGGGGGCCTAAGGGTCCATCTGTCACCATCTTACATGCTGTGATTGCAGCCATTCCCCAACTCTCTGTGAATGGTACTCATGGTTATTGATCAGTGGGCTTTGATTATTATTATTATGTTTATCAATTATTGAATCAATTAAAGGAACTGACCTCACAGCTTGTTCATTCAGTCAGCTGGTTTCACTCATTGTGCAAATGTGTTTATAAGGTTGGAAACCTGCAGTCAGCTGAGACTGAAGACGTCACCTGATGATGACTAAACACTGAAAATCAACCGTTGGGACTGTGAACTAAACATTACAGTAGTTAAATTGTTTCACGAATAATATTGAAACATTTGAAATTAAAGAAACACGTGTCTCAGCAGTCAGTGTCGTCATAATCATTTTATATATATAAACTATCTTTTTCAACATCAGTTGTATCTGCAACCGTAACAACGCTTTGATTCGTCTGTTTTTCTGCACACAGTCTGAGTCCCTGCAGGGACAGACATCAGCTATGAAGAGAAATGATTGTTCAAGGAAATTAGCAGCTGTTTCACACCTTTTCTTTTTGTTATAGTTCCAGGAAAGAAGCACATATGTTCTTGTTAAGTGTGTGTGTGTGTGTGTGGGAGGGGAGGGGGTGTAAATCTGAATCATTTCACCATCAGTTTTGTCTGATGTGGCTGTCAAACTGCTGTTTATAGTTCTGTGGTATTATAATATAATACTAAACTACTAAACTACTAAACTAATAACTAGTATAACACACGACTGTCCCCATCACACGGTTCTTTTATCCCCACACATCATCCTAATAAAACAACATCAGTTTCAGATCTCTGGTTTAGTTTGGATCTTATTCTTTCCAAAGGTGCAGAAATCTTATGACTGCAGTTGCCTTTAACTTCTCTTTCCTATTATTGGAAAGAGAACCAAAACTGAAATATGTGCGAAGAGGAAGAAGAAAGGAAGTGGTGTCAGATATGATCAACTATCATTATTACACAGAAGTTTTACACCTTTGCAACCTAACATGGTCCTTACTGTGCTTCAGGGCAGTTTTTTAAAGGTTAAACCGTGCTTCAAGATGTATCGATAATTACACAATTTTCCACACATATAAGTGTTTAACCCTTTAAAACC